AAAATAAGGTAATATACCTTTAATGTAATTCTAATGCATCTTTAATATATGAACAAGATAACACTACAAAAACTTGTGATTGTATAAATGCAATACCTAGTTCTAATCCAGAGAATGCAATTATAAATAATTTGGTAAACTATATAAGTTATTTTTATGTATTAACTTAAAGCTTTTAACTACATAAAATTATTGATTATCAGATGTACGTTTATTAATACGTGTACTGAAATCATCATTAGACATAGAACTATGAGTGAAGCTACGTTTAGTAGTAGCAGATGCAGAAGACATAGAATAATCTTCGTTTTCTAATTTGGTTTTTAATATTTGTTGCATTCTCAATTCACTAGATAGATTAGTACGACAATCATTTATTGCAGAAACAGCTTTTTGATGTTCCATTTGTCATAGGTGTTCCTCACCTCTTTCTATGAAAAAAGCTCTTTTAGGTACAATTTGATCCAAATCATATTTAGCAGCGTCATATTGTTCCCCAAAGTACTGTACTTTTTCTTCTATTTTAGTAAGTCTTTGCTGTAATTTTAAACGATCATCTGTAATTAAAGCACCAGAACTACCAGCTGGTGTAGAGCTACCTATACCTGGATCATTAGGAGCTTGCATAGTACTAATATACCCAACTGGGTTAGTACCACCACAAGAATGCATTCGGAAAGTATTTTCTTTAAGTCATTCATTAATTACAAAACGACTACCACCTAAAGAGCAAAAGTAACTAAAGCTAACAGTTCAATTATCTAGATTAGTAAAAACGTCATATTCTAAATAATTTAAAAGAATAAGTCTTAATATATAGCCCATCGCAGCAGTAGTTATACTACTAATAAACCCTATAAGAAAATTTTTATTGATAGATAGTTTACGGTTTAAACTATTTTGTTTATTTTTGAATATGTTTAACATAGAATATTGTTATGAATTATTGGTATAAATTAGGGCAAAGCAATGAAAGTTATAAGTTTAATTAATATTGTACATCCTTACTACATTACTATGAATTTTTATGTTTATTATGGTTAAATTTAACCATTTTCCCTTTAAGATAGGTGTGTAATTATGAAAAATAAGTTGAAAATAAGTGAATCGAACACTTAACCTGCCGCGTGTAAAATGGATGCTCTACCAATGGAGCTAATTTCTTTTTTTATGGGGGGGGGGGGGCTTTAAGCAAAAGTTTATTTTACTCTTCTCCCCCCACCCTTAATTGCTGTATAAATTGTAGACTGCAATTAACCAGTTACTTCATAAGATGTATATACTGGGATATGTTATACTATCTGGTAAGGTGTTACCTTTCATAACATGTTAATTGTACAAGACAATTATTTTAATAAAATCTATCTAGTCCCCTCTCCGAAGGTCTTTGACCCTTGGGGAGCGGAAAAGGCCCGCCGTTCCGGCGGGTCTAGAGTTATTAGATGGGTTTTATCCAACTATTGTTCTTGTAATCAAGATAAGAATTTCTCTAAGGAAACTGATTCTACAACAATTGGCATACTCGAATGAAGGATACCACAAATTTCTGAACATTGCGGGTTATTTCTACGTTTATTTAATGTAATTGAATAATACTTATTACTACTCCAGTCAAAGAAAGTATGTTATTTTTTTTAACTATTATTTAGTTATTTATGAGAAAAAGAATAGTTTTTATATTTTTTACCGTCTTTTAAATGAAGATAAAGAGCTTTTCTATCTAATTTGATATTTAAAGTACCAAAGTATTTAATTGTATCCGTAATACTTTCAAATTCTTTCTCAAAATTTTCTCCTTTTACTACTATAGGTTTATTTTTTCTATTCACTTTTAAGGTATCTAAGTCTGCATCTACTTTTAATTTTTTATATTCATCCATTATTAATCCTACTTCTGAAAAATGATCCGGTAAAATATTATCTGAAAATTTACATAAGAAATTATGAAACACTTTTTCATTTTTTATATATTTAGTAAGAGTGGCTCTTTTAATCGTTAAACCTAATTCTCTTAAGTATTCAATACAAGATGTTAACGAATCGAAATTTAAAGTTTGGCCTATAGAATCTGAATTTACAAAGGCATTTCCTTCTTTAATTTCTAATTCTACTGATATACTTCTACGAGTTCCTACTATATACATATCTTTTCTTTCTTTTTGCATAACCTCTACTAATTTATCCACCGGAATATTGCTTGTTAAAGCAGTAGGTATGTAATAGCTTAATAGTAAGAATTTATTAAGATATGGTTTTTTAGAATCTACAAACTTTTTACTAGTTTCAGTGTGTATTTTTAATACTCTTTTTAGTTCAATCTTAGATTTCGCATGATAATAAAGAGTACTACAAGTTAAATCATAAACATATACAGGATCACCTTTTGAAGATCCTGCGTTAACAACTCTTAATGTATTCAAGTTAAATTCTTTATTTACTAAATAATACTGTTCTAACATTAAAGAGTCTTTATAACTAAATATAGTAGAATCTAATTTAAATACTATTAATTTAAAAGCTCTTACCCCTTCTTTGTGAAGTAAAGGTAAAAATTTACCACTTAAAGGGAAATCACCTTTAAAATAATAATCCATTCTACGTCTTAATAAATTAGATGAACCTACGTATTTATGCCCTGTATTTTTATGTATAAAGATATATACACCCGAGAAACCTTTATATTTAGATTTACCTGTTAACTCCGCTAAAAGTTGTTTATTTTCCGGTGTAGATATAGGAAGATCCCATTCAACACCTTTAACTTTTAATAATTCTTCTAATTTAGAGTCAGTAATGGATAAATTTTGATTTAATAATATTGTATTAATAATGGATGAATTCGTTGGTTTTTCACTATTGATATGATCTAACGCTAAAGACTCTGGATTATTTGCCAAAGGTCTTATTGAATTAAAAGATCTAGTTGCACTATAATTTCTAGTCCCCAAAAGGGGACTGACCCTTTGGTCTGCCCCCCCTTTGTTTTTTTTTACGTAATTTCTTGGAGAAATTACTCAAAAAAAACTAGGGGACCATCCCGCAGGGATAGTTAGAGATATAACAGCTATTGAACCAATACGTTTATCAAATGTGTAATGCTTATTAAAAACACTTCTACTAATTGTACAATGCAAACACTACCATAATGAAAAGTGCTTTACTTTTTTGTATGAATATTTATACATTAAAATAGTTTAGCAAACTATCGTAGAAATCCCTAAATATAATCAACCAAATGAATATATCTATTTAACAAAAAATATAAAGAATACTTATATTTTTCTGCACCTTTTCAGGAGGGGGCTGACTATATCTTAAGCGTTATTATTACGAATAATACCAACCACCGTTTAGTCGATGAACTGCATACCAAATATTTTATACTTGGTACTTGGCTGCGGATTGCCCATTGAATAATAAATCTTGATTTTACTGTACCACGAGTCATTACCTGTGCCATAAGTTATGTTACCATACTTACTTAGTTAAGATTCCTTTAGGGCTTTCCCGTCAATTTGATGATTTATAACCGTAGGTTCACTACAGTTTTGGCCATGGTTCAGACCATAGAATGTTCCTAATCTGTTAATTAAAACAGAGAATTGATTTAATCTACCTGGGTATGCATCACATTTTACTCCTAATGCTGGTATGGCAAAACTGTGGATAACATCTGCTGCAGTAAGAATAAATCTAGTATGTGTAATTTCAGGTAGAATAACTCTGTTATCTACTTCTAACATTCTTAACGCTCCTTCTTCTAAATCAGATTCAGGTACTAAGTAAGAATCAAACTCAACAAAATCTCCATCACTATTTAGGAAATCTGGATATTCGTAACTTCAGTATCATTGGTGCAGATTTTAATTAAAATCTTGTCGACTGTATATTAAGCATCAAATAATTTGACACCCACAAATGACTCAGTCTGTTGCGATAAATAAAAGAAAATAAACTATTTACCGACAGTCTTGTATTATTACTTAGATACGAATTATAATAATAATATGTTAACTGTTTTCACTCATGTCGCCAGAAAAAGTATAAAACTTTTTTAAAAGAATTTTGTCAAATTCTTAGAAATATGTATATTTCTTGACTATCGAATATATGTAGGGGGTTAGAAGAACTTTCACAATATAAAAATTTTAATTGTTTATAAACCTACTTTATAAAGCATAGAGGAGTGTAAATAAGGTACTATTCATTCCCTTAAAGTTAGAATAGATGAACTTTTAATATAAATAGAATATCTATCTATATCTTTTAAATATTGAATAGTACAATCGAGATTAAATTTATTTTTAAGAACTTTAATAAGAAATTCTACTTCTGTAAGTTTAAAATCATTTGTAGCTATTCTTACACCATATTTAGTTCAACCTCCGTCGTCCATTATTCAAATTGCTAAAGCTAAGGGAGTTAAATAATTTTCTATTTCAGGATGTATATACTTTTTACCCTTTTTGTAAAACATCTTATGAATCCAGTTAAAGCTTCTAAAAGTAAAAGTATTAAATTCATACCTAAAATGTTCTGTTTTTTTATCACCTTTTTTTAAAATAATAGTATGTACTCTAGGTTCTAAATTAGAACAATAACCTCTATCATAATAAAATTTATATAATCAAAAGAGGTAATCTTTATGAATTATACTTTGTCTATAACAAAGTCTTGTACCTTCTACAGATCTATTATTAGCATAGCAATCCCCTAAAAGTGAACCGATTATCACAGAGATGACATCTTGATCATGAGGACCTATTCTAGAAGCAGCTCTTACTCTAGTATGAAAATACATTTTAAATTTATTTATATTATTTTTTCTTTGACCTACAAATAGCAAGGCTAAATTATAGGTATCTTCTATTTTATTTAATATATACGATTTAGGGCCACCGTTAAAGAAACCCTCTGCTAATACAGATAATGAAGGATCAGTAACTTCATCCATTAAGTATAATAGTTTGAAAGAAGGGAAAGCGATTAATACTAATATTAAAGCAGGAGTAATAGTTCACACAAGTTCGATTAGTGTCAAAATAAATGGACTATATAATTATCCAGTTAATCAACAGGATATTTAACGTTTAGTCTCTGGGGATTACCTACTCATAATATAAATAATTATTATTTTGGTTTCCTGCTAGGTTATTCATTGTTACATCCTTTCCCGACTACCATCATTAATTGCATGGTAGGGGGTCGCCTAATTTGGGCGTAGCGCTAGCGCGTAGCCCTCCGTAGGAGAAGAGTTATTACTTAATAATTATTAATCCTACCCGCTATAATACTCTAGGTCCCTAAGGCTCCCTAATTTTTTCTAGCCCCGAGAGGGGCTGACCCTTTGGGAAGACCCCCGATGGGGCTCATCCCTAATTTTTTTTCTAATAATTTCATAGAAATTATGTCGAAAAAAAATAAAAG